GAAGCTTAACTTACACTTGGGAAGTTGTGAGGAATGTTTTTTTTTTCTTCTTTAACAATGATTTTTTTTTTTCTTCTCATGAACAGAAGACAAAAGCAATCAGGGCTGAACTGTATCAAGTTTCTTTCAGGTCAGCTGATGTTTTCCCCAAAACGCTTTTAGGCTCAGAGCCTGTCTGATCTGGGCCCTTGGTCTCAGTAGAAGTTCCTTGAGGGCAGCACCTCCGCTTACTCCATTTTACAGACCCACCGTCAGTGGCTGCTCCGTAAACATCTGTTGGTTGAATGAATGAATATGGCATCAGATGTAGTTCCTGAAGTAAAGGCTTTAAATTTTCTTTGGAAGAATTTTTTTGCTTAAAGATAGGCAGTTTTATATTTACTGCTTTTGCTTGCTTCTTGGTAAAGGATTTTACATCTTGTTCAGAAGAAAATACCTGGAGTTGATGGTATATTTAAGAGGCTCCCATGAACTATGGCTATATTAAATTCAAAGTGATAAATCATTTTGAGTGTTACATCAAGATACTATCTTAACTACTAGGCTTTAGTATAATGTAGCTGTAACAGGCATTGTATTGCTAGTTTATAGAAAAACTTGTGGGAGGAAAAAAAGCATAATTTAGGAAAAGATGAATGGTAACAACAGAACTGTTTGATCCAGCCTGTGGAATGACAGTACTGGTGCTAGTAAAAATCCACTTGTTGATGTAATGTGCTCTAATAACAAAGTACCTCCCACCCTTTCTCAAGTCATGGCACACATAAGGACAGCGATGGCCATGGCCCTAAGGGAAGGTTTGATGCTGCTCATGAGGTCTGACACCTCCCAAATTCCATGACAGCAGAAGTATACTGAAGGAGAGCAGTTAATTGTGATAAGTCTGAGATAATGGTATCAGAAGACGCTGGTGCTCAGCGTAGAGACCAGACGAGGGAGGCGTTTTTCAGTTGGCCCAGTATCATTCTGAAGAAGAGAATGTCTGCACACAGATGTTCTGGTCACTAGGAGGAGACCAGTGTAGCAGTGGAGAACCAGACAGCACCATTCTTATGAAACCCCTGGGAACATTTTAAAACCAAAGTCTTAATAAAAAAAACTTAAAAGGAAAAAAAAAAAACTATTATGGTCAAGTATCATAACCTAAAAAAAAGTTATGTGTTATAAATACATAATTTTGAATTATTTTTTAAAATAATTCTGTATTGGTCGGTGGTGCTTGGCACAGCTGAGCTCCATTGGAGTGCAGTTCTGTGGTCATTCTATGATAAATTACCCAGGCTGTCCGAGCCCTACAGTGACATGGATGGCAAAGTTCCTAGGACCTTCCATCAGCATTCACCGTTATTCTTTGCTGAAAGTCTAGCTTCTCATTTCTAAAGTGGCTTTCCAAAATTTTTGGAGTGGGGAGTGGTGTGCAAGTTGGGGGTGTTGCACTGGTGTGATTGTTCCAGTAACTGGGACTGTATTTTTCCCATTACATCTCATTTATTGGCATTCCGGCTTTTGTGTGTTTAAATAGCACCAGTCGGTTTCTCAGAGTACTGACTGCCCTTGGATGAACTAATAGTGTCTGATCTCAGAGATGAAGTTGGCACACCCTACCCCTCAGGGCCCTTCCTTCCCATCTGCACTTGTTCCTTGGGTAGTTGTTTTTAATTTTTAAAAAATTTAATTCTAACAACCATTTTACCCCAAACATGTACGAAATCAGTTACCTTCATCTTTTCATGTGAATTAAAATAGTTTTTCAGCCCATAGCCAGAAACCATGTTTTAGCCTTTATCAGCAACCTGCAATCTAAATACTGACCATCTCTGCCAAATATTTTGAACTAGGGCCGATTCAGGGCAGGCAGATGTCTGATAATAGAAAATTCAACCAGTTTGTAGTTCCTGTGACCTTGTTGAGCACTCCATCACAAGCCTAGAAGGTCTTATTTGGTAGTCTGTAATGTAGGTTTTGGAACCTGTATTTTTTAAAAACCACCTCTGTTGATTGTGATCAGATTGTTCTGGATAGCAATCTGAAATGTAAGTCTACATCACAATCACATGGGGCATACTTTAAAAATGTGGATTCCTGGGATCCAACCTCAGAGATTCAGATTCTGTTAGGAAACCAAAATTGAGACCCATGAAAAATCAAACCAATTAAATGCTAAATGTATCAGAGGCAGTTAATAAATATTTGTTTGAGTCATCTGCCCAACATGGTAGGAATTTGGTGTGAGCTAGAGATGTCCTGAACTTTGTGGAAGAGGTGGGCCTTGGGGATGGTGGGGAAAGGGATTTAGACACAGGCGAGCAGAGCAGGGGAAGGCATTTATTCACTGAAGTGTGGGAGGAGCAGAGGCACTCAGGAGCTCGGTGGACGTGGGATTGAGAGACGAGCATGACTGTACAAAATGCACAGGTTTCTGTGTGTGTTCTTCACCCCCTGTGTTCAGAGAGGAGTTGGAGCAGTGTGTAATAAAATGTCACATATTGGATGTGTGGGCTCTTCTGCTGAGACATCTCTTTACTCCCAATCATCAACCATGAATGGCTGATAGAATCGACTGGAAGGATACCTCCCCTTTCCTTCTCTTGGTTCCATTTGGGTTCCTCCTAAGGGTAGAATTCACTTGAGAAAGATCATCTCTGATAGGGGACATTGAGCTCCAAGTGCTCAGTTGTTTTGGTTCATGTTTTGGTTTTTAACAGTTGTGGGTTTCGTAGGGAACTGAAATTAATAATGTATGTTTTATTCACTCGGCTAGGTGATTAGTCTGGGCTTTGGTTCCTGCCTTGGAGGAACCCCATCTTCTATCTAGAGAAACAGAATTACAATGGCAGTGATGGAGTCATCCCCATTGCCAGGCCAAGCACAAGCATTGCCAGGCCAATCCAGCTTATAGGTGTAAGGTCCTGAAAGGCTGCACACAGGATGTGTATTTAAGCAGAATCTTGAAGACTGGGTAGCAGTTGGTCAGAGGAGGAGAGGAGGTGCTGTAGGAAATGGTAAAGCATATCATAGTCACATTTGCAGCAGACAACACAGCCTGATTAAAGTTGCAAGGTGTTTGGTCCAGCCGGGGCTCAGGATGTCTGCAGAGAGGCCGAGGTGGAGCGATCTCTGCAGGGGCCAGGGTTTGATACGTCTTACAGGCCATGCTGGTCTTCCCTGGCGGCTCAGGCAGTAAAGAATCTGCCTGCAATACAGGAGACCTGGGTTCGATCCCTGGATCAGGAAGATCCCCTGGAAAAGAAAGTGGCAACCCACTCCAACCTGTTCTTGCCTGGAGAATTCCATGAACAGAGAAGCTTGGTGGGCTGCAGTCCATGGGGTCATAAAGAGTCAGGCACGAGTGAGAGACTTTCATTGTCATCACCACCATGATAGGCCACGCTAAAGGGTTTGAATTTTGTCGTGAAGGGAGTAGGGACCTGTCAGAGGATTTTAAGCAGGGTTATTTTGTGTAGTGTGGCTGCTGCAGTATGAATAATGGATTGAAGAGGGCAGGGCCAGAGTTTTGAGAGGCACGAAATGAGAGCCTGGTCTTGAGCGGGAAGTGGGAATAGAGAGAAAAGGACAGATGGGGAAATTTTAGAAGGCATGTTCAAAAGCACTTGGTGGCCACTTGAAGTTTGCAGAGGAGGAAGAAGTTGTGACTGAGGGGATAGTGCTGTTGTACCCTGAGGTTGGGATGTGGGAGGAAGCTCAGTTTGGTGGGGAAGATGGCGAGTTCACTTGGTGATTGCCAGTACTTGGAGGTGCTTGTGGGACATTCAAGTGGAAATGTCTGGAGGGCTCTTAGATAGTGAGTCTGGAATTCAGGAGGGTGTGGGCTAGATGTTGGTGTAAATGGGAAAAGAGAACATAAATGCTGTGGTACTAGGTTAATTTCATCCCCAGAATATTTCTCATAGCAGTCACTACTTTCCACCTTCTCTGCTACTGCCTTGGTTGAAGCTACAGTCACGTTCCAAGTGGTCTACCTACGTCTCCATCAGTCCCTTCTTACCTAGCTGGGGGCGTGCCTTCTAAAAATGAGATGGTAACTTGTCATTTCCCTGCTTAGAACTCTTCCTCGATGATTTCCCATTGCCCTTAGAACAGAATTCAGACTTCTTACCATGGTACAAGGCCCCGTGTGACCTGGCCCCGCCCTGCCTGCTGCCCTCTCCTCAGTCGTTTTGAGCATTCTTCTCCCTCTTTTGACCACACTGTCGCTGCAGTGCCTTCTTCAAGGCCAGAGATTTCTCTTCTGTCTTCTTGTGCACTCTTTTTCTCTTTTCCTGACCTTTCCCCCAACCCTTGGTCTGGCTGCTCCCTCTCCATTTACCCCACCCTTGACCTGACCAGTCCTCATCTTTTAGCTCTCACCTCAGGTCACATTTTTCAGAGGACCCTTCCTTGATCTTTTGAGTGACATTAGAGTCAACATGCATTTTTCTTTCCTAGCACTTAACACAGTTTGTTACTAGTTACTCATGTGTTTATTTGGTGTCTGTCTCTCATACAAGCTCTATGAGGGCAGAATCCACCCTGTGTTTTGTTTACCGTTGTACCACCAGTGCCAGACAGTTCTGAGCATGTAATAGCACTCCCTGAATGTTGGCTAGATTTGTTGAATGAATGAGGGTCATTGTCTTCATTTTCTACTGAAAAGCTTGCAATTTTATACTGTCACAGAATAAATGACTGTGATTCAAGGTTTACAACATATATGGTTGATTTCATCTACTTTTGAGAGTCTGTTCCATTTTTAACTGTTATTAAACACTGTGTTTCCTCTGGGAGGTTGGGGCATTAAAATTACAAATCAAATCATAGGGGTATTTTTCCTCCCTGTTACCTGCATTCATCATAGTGACTCTGGTTAGCATGGCATAATCCATCGTCAGTCTGACAATGATTTGGCTGCTAAGTTGGGCATTTGTGGAAGAGTTGAGTAGCAGCCTTTTCCTGTAACCCTGATTTGGGAAGTGTCCCAATACATGCTGTTTGCATTGCAGCTGTGGGAAAATCCACCTTTGTGAAGTTACTCACGAAAACTTACCCAGAGTGGCACATAGCTACAGAACCTGTAGCAACATGGCAGAATGTCCAGGCTGCTGGCTCCCAAAAAGTAAGTTTTCAGTTGTGGTGGGTAGTTGGCAGGCTTGGGCTCATAAACTAGTTGTAGTAATCTAATTTGCTCCGAGTAGGTAAAGTAGTCCATTTTGGTGCCTCCTTTTTAAAATACCTTCATTTCAGAAAGCAGACCATGTACATCAGGGAGGGAGACTTGTTTGAATGTGTTTAGTTTTCATTTTTTACATTTCTGTTTAAGTGATTGCCTCTGTTCTTTCCGGTTTCCCAAAGCATGGCCAGCCATCCTGGCATTGAAGATTAATTTTGTCATTCCTACCCTTAAGTATTTCATTGAAACTGACCATCAGGATTAGTAGTTAATTACAGTGATTTTAGCTTATTTTTGAAGTCTTAGAAATTGAAAGGAGCCTTAGGGAACATCTTGTCACGTTTTGAGTCAATGCAGAAATCATATAAAGTGCATACTGTGTGGCAGGCACTGTCCTGCCCCAAACACTGTACATTTCATGGATGCCTCTTGGCTTGCACCCTGCTGTCAGGTGTGTGGCTACGGGAGAGGCCATAGCGTTGGTTTCTCACCAGCCACATCAGTGTGAGTAGGGAACAACCAACTGGACGTGAACCTCAGCAGCAGCTGAGGGAGCGGCAGCATCTCCACAGACTCTGTAGTTCCAGGAACAGTCCCGAGTACCTCATTCTTGTTTTTAACAACCTGTTGTTAGAAGGTTCTTGTATGAGCCACTTTGCATGCCTGTGACTCTGATTCATTGGTTCAAGTTCTGATCTTAAGTCTTTTAACTTTTCCACATGGCCACTCTTCATTCATTTCTGAGCCAGCGATTTCTTGCTTTTTTGCCCCCTCGAGTCTTCTCTTTGAAACCAAATACCATTTCCCTCCAGACTGTTTCTCATGCAGAAGTAGCTTTGTCTAGGAGATGCACTCCTGTTTGTTGGTCTTCCACTGAGATTTTGGTAAGAGCAGCGCTCAGAGCTGAGCGGGACATGTTGGAGGTAGTCCTCATGGCACAGAATACCACAGCACTGGCGCTCACTGCCCTTTTCTTGTTCTTCCAACTTAGGATCGTGTTGCCTTTTTTTGGCAGACACTTACACTTATTGAGGATATTTGTTTTTTTAGCTGTCTCCATCTATGTATGTGCATGTGTGTGTATATTTGTGAAATTAACTTTGCTATTTAGTAAATAAGTTATCTTTTTCTGAGTATGCCACAAGGCACCTGCTTTGGGGATTTAATATATCCACAGGTTTGGTACTATTTCCTTCAAGAAGTAAATAGTATTAATTCGTATATTCATAATTCTCCCCTGGAGTGTGATCTGGACTTAGTGACTTGCTTCTAAGGAATACAGTGTAGCAGGGTTAACAGTGTGACTTTCTGTGGGAGGTGGTAAAAGACATTGCATCTTCCATCTTGCTCTCTCTTGATCACTTTTGGCTCTGGGGCTGCCAGCTGCCCTGTGATGCAGCGTACCTCTCTATGAAGAGGTCCACACAGCAAGGAACTGGTCCTGCCAAGAACCATGTGACAGTCTTCTTGGAAGCAAATCCTTGGATCCCCAGTTAAGGCTTCAGATGACTGTAGCCTCAGCCAGTATCCTGACTGAAATCTCATGGAAAACCCTAATGCAGAACCACCTGGCTAAGCTGTGTCCCAAACTCGTTTCCCATAGAAGTGGGTTTAATGAATGTCTTTTTTGTTTAAGCCACTAAATTTTGGCACAACTTAGATAATTACTACTCTCATAATAGCATTGTCTGGAAATAAAACAGTTAACATTTTTGTCCTTTAAAATTTTTTTCCTATAAAGAAGAAAATGTATATATTAACACACATAAATGTATGAAACATATCCACATTTCATCTTTTTTAAAAAATTATTGATTGATTTATGGCTGTGCTGGGTCTTCATTGCTGCGCAGGCTTTTTCTCTAGTTGCAGCAAGCGGGGACTCCTCTCGCTGCGGTGCTCAGGCTTCACTATGTGGCTTCTCTTGTCGCGGAGCGCGGGCTCTGGGTGAGCAGGCCTCGTTAGTTGCAGTGTGTGTGCGCATGGGCTTATTTGCTCCAAGGCATGTGAGATCTTGCTGGACCGGGGATCCAGCCAGTGTCCCCTGCATTGGCACGTGGATTCTTCACATTCAGCCACCTGGGATGCCCACATTTCCTTTTTTAAAATAAGAATTGTGATCGTCATTTGCATGTCACTTGATTCACAAGGTCTTCTTCCTTTCGTGGTCATGTCATGTTAATGGTTGCTGTGCTCTGTGTAATATGCTGTACTATCATTTACTTATCGAGTCTTAGTTTCAATGTTTACTTTTCTAATTTCTGCTTATTGTAAACAATGTCACAATGATGACTATTTTTGAGGCTGTATCTTTTTTTCTTTTTAATGGCTTGATTTTGAGGATAATCTGGAAGTGGTATTTTGATGTCCAAAAATTACATGTTTTGTTGAGGCTTTTGTTACATTTTGTAAAATCTTCCTTCAGAAAAGTTTTGCTATTTTTCTCATATTTTCAGCAACACTGGGTATTATTTTTTTTATTCTTTTTTTTTTTTCACATTTTTCAAAAGCATTTATTAAGAAAAGTGGGGGGGTTGGGAAAAAGGTATAAAGTAACACAAAGGAATGAAAGCGTTTACAACATAGCTTCTTCAGGCCAGTGGCAACTAAGAAATATTTGCTGGGCCGACACCAAGGGTATGGAGGCCCCAATTCCATTTTCAATCCCATTTCTCTTGGCTGCTAACCCAACCAGTTCAAAACACCCTCCGAAGAGAAGTCAGATTGCCTTCCAAAACCTCCCCAAACTACTTCCCAGTTGCCTTTACGGCCCTTCTCTGCCTGGACCCAGATTCCTTCCCTAGGCTTCGGGTGAGGTCAGCCAGACCCTGCTGAGCACTCTCCACTCTTCCAGTCACTGTGTGGTCCCTTCATCTATTTCTATTCCCATCCAGATTCATTAAACTACATTCATGAACCAGTTGGGCTGGCTTGATCTGCTGCCTTGGGTCAAGTTGCCTGTTTTTCTAAGCCTACATCTGAACTTGCTCTTTCTCCTGTTGGGAACAACTTCTTGAGCAGTGTCTCTGGCAGCTCCCTGCCCCCGTCAGTCCAAGGCTACTGTCTCCCCCAGACAGAACTCTGCACCCCCGTCCAACCGCCCACTTAACTTCCAGGTGGCTCCAGTTCTCAGCTAACCCGTCTAGGTGGGGGTTTAGTCACTAAGTTGTGTCTTGACTCTTGAGGCCTCATGGACTGTAGCCCACCAGGCTCCTCTGTCCATGGGATTCTCCAGGCAAGAATACTGGAGTGGGTTGCCATTGCCTTCTCCATTTTTTATCCTTTCTGACTTGAGAGTGAAGAAAATGAATGGTATGTTATTTTATTTTACATTTATTTAATTACCAATTTGTAAGGCCCTCCTCAGACAGCCATTTTGCTTTTTTGCATTTCTTTTTCTTGGGGATGGTCTTGATTCCTGTCTCCTGTACAATGTCATGAACCTCCGTCCATAGTTCATCAGGCACTCTGTTTATCAGATCTAGTCCCTTAAATCTATTTCTCACTTCCACTGTATAATCATAGGGGATTTGATTTAGGTCATACCTGAATGGTCTAGTGGTTTTCTGCACTCTTCAATTTCAGTCTGAATTTGGCAATAAGGAGTTCATGATCTGAGCCACAGTCAGCTCCTGGTCTTCTTATTGCTGACTGTATAGAGCTTCTCCATCTTTGGCTGCAAAGAATATAATCAGTCTGATTTTGGTGTTGACCATTTGGTGATATCCATGTGTAGAGTTTTCTCTTGTGTTGTTGGAAGAGGGTGTTTGCTATGACCAGTGCGTTCTCTTGGCAGAACTCTGTTAGCCTTTGCCCTGCTTCATTCTGTACTCCAAGGCCAAATTTTCCTTTTACTCCAGGTGTTTCTTGGCTTCCTACTTCTGCATTCCAGTCCCCTATAATGAAAAGGATATCTTTTTTGGGTGTTAGTTCTAAAACGTCTTCTAGGTCTTCATAGACCTGTTCAACTTCAACTTCTTCAGCCTTACTGGTTGGGGTATAGACTTGGATTACCATGATGTTGAATGGTTTGCCATGGAAACGAACAGATATCATCCTGTCATTTTTGAGATTGCGTCCAAGTACTGCATTTCGGACTCTTTTGTTGACTATGATGGCTACTCCATTTCTGCTAAGGGATTCCTGCCCACAGTAGTAGATATAATGGTCATCTGAGTTAAATTCACCCATTCCAGTCCATCTTAGTTCACTGATTCCTAGAATGTTGATGTTCACTCTTGCCATCTCCTGTTTGACCGCTTCCAATTTGCCTTGATCATGGACCTAACATTCCAGGTTCCTATGCAATATTGCTCTTTACAGCATTGGACCTTGCTTCTATCACCAGTCCCATCCACAACTGGGTGGTGTTTTTGCTTTGGCTACATCCCTTCATTCTTTCTGGAGTTATTTCTCCACTGGTCTCCAGTAGCATATTGGGTACCTACTGACCTGGGGAGTTTATCTTTTAGTGTCCTGTCTTTTTGCCTTTTCCTACTGTTCATGGGGTTCTCAAGGCAAGAATACTGAAGTGGTTTTCCATTCCCTTCTCCAGTGGACCACATTCTGTCAGACCTCTCCACCATGACCTCGCCATCGTGGGTGGCCCCACACGGCATGGCTTAGTTTCATTGAGTTAGACAAGGCTGTGGTCCTTTTGATCAGATTGGCTAGTTGTCTGTGATTGTGGTTTCAGTCTGTCTGTCCTCTGATGCCCTCTCTCAGTGCCTATCGTCTTACTTGGGTTTCTCTTACCTTGGAAATGCAAAAAAAGCAAAATACTGTCTGAGGAGGCCTTACAGATAGCTGTGAAAAGAAGGGAAGCGAAAAGCAAAGGAGAAAAGGAAAGATATACCCATTTGAATGCAGAGTTCCAAAGAATAGCAGGGAGAGATAAGAAAGCCTTCCTTAGCCATCAGTGCAAAGAAATAGAGGAAAACAACAGA